GTAAGTGGGGTCATAGTTATTATCTCCAATTCCCCTTTTAAAGTACATTATCCTAGAATCCTGTTATTACACGTACAGTATAGCTTACTAATCCTGCAATAATATTCCAAAACTTATTCCAGATTTTAAAAACTGGTGTTAAAATATAAGAAAGATGTAAAGTTCTACCAATTATGTAGATATTAGTTAAATCCACAATCAAAATTAAGGCATATCCTATTTTTTAGAAACTTTGTACCATAAGCAATGATATATGTCGAATTATAGTTCCTTGGAGAAGTAAAATACTTCTCTTCCAATCATCCCCAGTCCCATAGGGTATCTGAAAAAATGATATTTCAATTACACCAATTGTATAAATAAATAATGAAATTGGTAAACTTGTATCAACCATATGCTATAAAACAATGATCAAATCCGTTATAAGTTTTACTATTTTAGGGTTGTAATTTTTGTGAATCAACTCGATTTCTACATTGGTACTAATTTCTTAATTGGTAACTGACTTGAGGTATTGCACATCCCTATGAACCTCAGCATAGTAATACTTAATGTACAAGGAAGCTCATAGTTTAGAACAAATGCCCTGGGGCATTTAGTGGCACTATCACAATTTTATGAATTGGTAGGTAGTCATTGCTTGGATTATGCGATAGAGTGAACGATTGATCGCTATTCCTTATTTTGATCTTTTCAGTAAAATTTTGATAGGTTTTTTACAACAATATGTTTTCCTGATTTTGTTGCTCATAGGACGGTTTAGATCACCAGCGCCTTACCTTGGAAGTCCACAAGCTGCCAGGGGTGCGTATATTGGAAATTTTGGCTACCAGCAGCCGGTTACATATGGCTACCAACAAGGCTTGGTATATTCTCCTTATGGGTGAGTTATGCTTTATGATCTTATTAGTCTCTGTGGATTAAGAAAATTTTTGTTGAGCACAAAGGTTAACTGGATATGCATCCATAGTTCTGGTGTTTCTGCAACATCACGTCATTATTATTTTTCTACTGCCATGTATTCTCCCTCTTAAATTTGACAATATCTACCGCCTAGAGGAACAAAACAATATATGAAAATGAAATTGAGGAATGTATCATTTATATGTGGTTTTCATTCTTTGTCATTTCCCTTGCCATAAAACAGTTTTAGTCTTTCTTGTTATTTCTGTTTGTTAGCTTCTTCTTCATGCCAGTGTATAACATGTTTAATGGAGATTTTTTTGCTTTCGTGATGTGAGATGTAGTCCTCAACATAGACTAGTAAAATAATTGAAACTACAAAGTACAAAATTCTATTCATTATAAAACCATTTAATAAAATCCACAATAGGATTCAACAAAATAAAAGGTTGATTCTGCGAACGTTAAACATGAAATGGATCTACAAAATTGCTAATAATAAATTAACCAATTACTGGTTTTTGAAATTAACAAATTACTGATCACATAAGAAGACCATTGAACCACAAATAGAACTAAAAGTCTAAAAGGAATGAAAAAAATTATTCAAGGATTTTGCTTACTTTAAATTTAAAAGAAATGTCACGGTGTGTCCTCAGTTGTAGAAGTAGAGGACTAGAGCACACAAAGACTCTTCACTTGTTCTTTTCTTTCTTATGTAATCTCTGATTTTTTTCCTTTTCAATTTTTAGGTTTGTTTTGTTTAGAGCAACTCAAAAGTTTCCTTAAAACAATTTTCGCTATGAAAAATCATTCTATAATTGTGAGGCTGGTAACTTAAAATAACCTAGGAGAAAGACTAAGGGAGTGCATGTCTCAGCTTCCCTGAGGCTTTCTGATGCAATATTATAATAGTATTTTATTTAGTTTCCAATTTTTAAGTTTATTTTAAGAAAGATGATTATTGTTTGATTTTATATTATTTTCCTACTTCCATTAGAGTTAATTTAAACCCTATATAAAGGGGGCTCTTGCAATGTAATGAAACAACCTTTGATTATGAAATGAATTAATATTTTCTCCCTATTTCTCTCTATTCTCTCTCCCTTCTTCTCTCTTTTCTCCCTCCTTTCTCTTCTCCTTCTTCCTTTTCCCCTTCTCCTACAATTATCCTATTACATTCGGCATTACTTTTACCCTAAGGCGTGCACATGAGTAAGTCTAGGATTGCATCTTGACAATGCAAAGCGTAAGGTTTGAGGCTCCTAATGCATGCTTCTAACGGCATGTCTCAAGTCATAAGTCTTGGTGCTTTTGAAAAGATTCTTCCCATCAGTTATTGCATGTAAAGTTTTCTTCTTTTTTGTATTCTATTCATGTTCTTGTTCCGTTTTGTGCATAACTACTTGTGTGTGTCAGCATAGAATGCAGATTATTATGTGTGAATTAAATTTATTTACCTGCTGACACCTTTCAGTCCATTTTGTTCAACTTATAATTTCTGCCTGAACATATGATCTTTTGTTGTATCTGCTGAAACATTAAGTTGTATAAATTTACAAGTTATTTAAAACTTGGAAGTGTGTTTGTATTGTATTGTAGAATGATTTCGTTGAATGTTGCTAATTAGCTTGTCAACAATGTCAAAGTTTATTTTTCATGTGTGAAAGGAAAATGAAAATATTAGTTGAGACATATAAGTTTATTGTGTTATCCTTGCATAATGGAAGGCGATCCCTTTCAAGTCCATGTGCTTTCCTCTCTGTTTGTATTGATCTACATATCATGCACATAAACAAGTATATGCATGCATCTTTTGGTTATAGGTTTAATGTAAAGAAGCAGCTCTACTTTTTTTGCATGCATAATCTGCAATCCTTGTTTTTTGTGTTATTACCAATATTTTAAAAATCGAGCTGGTCAAAACCAGGGTGAAACCGGAGTCGAACCGCTAATAATAAATGAAATGATTAATATATTAATATATCAAAAAAATGGCAAAAATATATATATATTTTTTTCAAAATGACTTGCATATAGAGATGAACATCACTTAATAAACCTGATTGAAAATAATTTTTTTTACGTCCATTTCTAATATCAATAGAAAAGGAGATGACAAGTGTAGATAAATGTATTAATAGTTGAGTAAGTTAAATATTTTAATGGCATTTTATTTGTTATTAAAATACATAAACAAGCAAATAAGGAAGATTAGAATAAAAAATAAATAAAAAAGTCTATCCCACCTATACAATAGTAGTATGCACCATCAATTGTTGTTAGGGGGTTTTTCAAAAAGCAATGTGCCAAATGCCAATACCACATTGATTTCCATCAACAATAATGCTAAAGAAATAAGTTATAAAAAGGGCAGGCCACTATTGAGATAGGTACACCATTTGGGCCTTCTTGTTTTAGAGCATGTGCCTAAATAATAAGTTTGTTTTCAAGTTTTGACAGAAAAGCTATTGTTAAAACCAGTAAACCCAGTTGTGGGTCGGCTGGTTTTGCGGTTAGACTGATTACTCAGTTGATTTTTCTCTGGTTTTAAAAACACTATTTTTAGGCATCAACCAAACTGGCTTTGACACCAGTTGACAGTTTTCCCGGTTTGACTGGCCTGTCCGTTCTGGTTTGGTTTTGATAACATTTGTTATTAAAATAAAGGATACAATTAAAAGTAAGATCTCATCGAAATTGGCGTTTTCTTATCATCTTCTTTGTTTAAATCTCCTTATGTGTTAGAAACATATCGCCGCATGCAATTTGTGCTTGTGTTCCCTGATAATTTAGGCTCTGAACTTGTGGGTATGGTCAAAACAGAAAGCTTGATATAAGAAATTTTTGATTGAGTTGTTAGATTAAGCCTTTCTGAAACTTTGATGTGATTGTATGCGTATTACATTATGGTATGTTTATGGGATGACTGTCAAGCAAAAAGAAAACCTCTTATTCAGCTGAAAGGTTGTTAAGTTTGTGAATCATTTGGATTTCTTATTTGGTTTAAATAAGGAAATGAAATTCCATCTGAAATTGGACATTTTTGTTTTCTTTCGGGACATCCCAAATTAAAATCCATCTTCTTAATTACCTGGCTTTCAATATTCTTTTGCAAACTACATTTTTCCGTTCAACAAGTTATTTCCAGGGGACCCTTTAAAAAAAACCTACCTACTATTATACATTTAAATTCGAAATGCATGGTTCCAAACATGACATTGTTACCCATCAAGTCATAATACTGGAAAACCACATAAAAGCACAACTTTTCAACCTTTACCTAATTTACGTGTGCTGGGTCAAGCTAATACATTTAAGCCTCCGTTTGGGAAGAATTGGGAAGAATTTATAAATGGTTTAGCCCTTGTTTGAGCCCCCTTTTTTTGGAAGAATGAATTTTTGAATAGTGTATTGATGGAAAATGTGTGGTTAAAAAATAAGGAAAAATTTTGAATTTGCGTGTAATATTATTTTATTAAAAAATGTGTGGTTGAAATGATGTCAAAACACTGTTGAAAAATGTATTTTTCCAAAAGAATGGGCCTCAACAAGGGCTTAATTTATAAATAGATAGAAATGAGTAGTGGATAAGTGAATAGTATTTAAGGGTCCATTAAAATGTGCAATTGAAAATGAGATTTTGACCATTCATAATTTTTGTTAAACGGACGCTAAGTTCGGATGAAATGAGTATGGTTCAATCTTTGATGAAAATTACTTCGGATAGTTTGCAGTCTGAATAGATATTCATTTGAATTTACATTTTTTCTGTGATATAATATAAGAAATGGTTCTTTGCATGTCTTCATGTCTATCATCTCTGTTCTTTTTTCGATTTCTTATTTCAAATGGTTCTCTAATTTGATATTATATTAACAAAAAATGATGGGTATGGAGCATGAACACGTTTTACTTTCGGATACCAAACTCTTTATAATTGATTGCCCCCACACCTTCTTTTTATGCAGGTATGCTGCATACAGTCCAGAATATGCTTATCCTCAGGTTTGTAGCTTTCAAAAACTTGCTGCTTAAGTATTTTTATGATGGTAAGCCCATGAAGTTGTTTTTATGCATAGCAGTTCATTTTTCTTCGTAGGGTGTTTACAATCCTTATGGAAGTCAGCAATACCTTCACATATATGGTGTACCTGGAACAGTCAATACAACTATGTACCCTTTCAGTCAGTTGAGCCAGACTCTTCCAGGAAGTCAAAGTTATTCAACATTGCCAGGATATGCAATGACTGGGCATCAGATCGTGCAGTTTGGTGGGCCTAGTGTAAATGCAGTGACAACTACATCTGTTCCAACTGTTCCGACACCATTCGCTACAGGTAAATCTGTTACTTGCTGAACACATTTTTTTCTTGTAGATGAAAGATGACACAATTAGAATTGTGTGTCTGCACAAGCTTCAAATGCCTACTCAATATATGACAATGGCATAATCTTAGACCTTTTTCTCGACAATGATCTAACCTCAGTAGGACATTATTTTTATTTTTATTTGATAACTTTTTTGGGAGGGGGCTTATGTATGTTTTGGTGAAAAAGATAATTTACATTTGCAGAGAATCGGTTCCATGGAATCTGTACTATTTTATCCTTGAAATCTCTTAATTTTATTTTATATGTTTTAGAACAGATCTGAGGCTAATGCGTTGGTTGTATCAGGTGTCACAGCACATATTCTACCGCAACCTCAGTTCATACTACCTGCTCATTCTCCTCAATTCATGCAGGGTAGCGGTTCTGACCCAAATGCTGGGTGAGGGTTTGATCTAGGTAAGTTTTCATTTTATTTAATTTTTTATTTTTTTACACTCTTGCTTCCGCATGATTTTCATGATAGATACTTTTCTTATGATTTTATGCCAATTTGCAGGTATCAATAGACTGCAGCAGGACTAAGAACAGCAGTACTGCTACATGAGTGGCGGGCTTCAAATCTAGCCTTGCAAATTATTAATTTCGCATTCTAGAGGTATTTCAGACAATTTCAAAATAATTGAATTTTCTTCTTTGAGATGTAAGCGTTCGATTGTTCAGAAAATGTCTGTTCATATTGACTTTCAAACATCTCCTCGACATTATGGCCACTAAACAGTCTAGTGCTCGAGTGGGTAAGTGCGTCCTGCATTAAAAAAACCCTTTAAAACCAGTTATGCTCATCTTTACTGTGATTCAATTCTGACACACTATATCAGTCAAGTTGTTATACTTGCATACTGGGAAAGTTGAAATAGAGAAAAGGGGATACAAATATCCTTGTATCAGTCTTAGGTAATTTATATCAAGTGAAATTGAATATCACTGATAATGGAAGATGAAATATGAAGATTAATGTGCATTTGCTTGGCATTTCTTTGTTAATCTGATGTCTGTAACTTGTGCAGGTCTTACATTATCGTGCTCACCAAAGAAGTCGATGTCTGAGAAGGAAATGGAACGTGTTAATGGCACATCCTTCAACACCTTGTATCTAAATTCTCATTTTCTGCCGGTCTAATGGATGACCGACGAGGAGTCACAGACTAATGGTGGCCGGAATTGGTTTCTGGCTCCCGTATAGGAATAGTGAACCCATGTAAAAAGACCATGGTAGAATCAACATATGATTCTTTTAGAGTTGGATTTCCCAGCATTTTGGGTGTGTATATAACCTCCGGAATCTGTGTGTTGCATCCTGCATTGTATTTGAAAGTTGGGTCAGCATCTTGTGCATAACAACCGTTTTTAGGCTCTTATTGGATTACAATACCGTGATCTGGATTATTGTAGAGCTCGACTTCAAAATATGAAAGAAGCTCTAGGTTTATATAGAAAGAGGACTCTTTCTTCTTTTGCAGGCTCTTTACATGTAGATTCTTAAGGTCTGCAGAAGATTTGTATTTGAGAAATTTCGGGTTACACATGATAATCATCCTATACAAAAGTTTAGATTTTTATCTCAAGAAAGAGGGTTCTAAAAACTTTGTTAGAAGTTTGTATCGATATCTTATACTGAGGGTTTGTTAGACAACCATTTTTTATAAAAAAAAATTAAATTTTGTAATAGTAGTTTTTTAGAGAATATGTTGTTAAAAAGTAGGGAAAGTTTTGGGTTTATATGTAAAATTATTTTATTAGGAAAATGTATAATGAAAATGAGTTTGAGGAAACAAAAAAATAAAATAAAATAAAATAAAATTTTAACAATGTAGCTCAGAAGGGGTTGAATTTTCCTTTCGTAATTTTGGGTTTTAGGGCTCTTTGTTTCAACTAAGAATACTATAACGGTGATCCTCAACAAAAAATTTGATGGAGTTTTAAAAATTATAAATCTTTATACATTCCTTAAATTTGAATAAATTTTCTCAACTTTGTTTGAGCTCCATTTTTTAAAGAATGCATTTTTTTAAATTTCATTTTAACAACACATTTTGCCATAAAATAATTATATACGTACTTGAAAAAAATTTCTTATTTTTTTAGTAACACATTCTTTAAAAAATCAATATTCTATAATACATTTTATCTCAAAAAATGGGAATCAAATAGGGTCAAATATGATGAAATTTTAAAAGATTTGATTATTTATATATTTTTAAGCTTCAAACTCATTCAAATATTTCTATTCTATTAATGAAATCTTTATGAATCTACTAGTTATTGAAAATACTTAAATTTTAAAAGATTTCATTGAATTTCATTAAAATCTTAATTAGAGAACCTAAATTTTAATAAATTTTCATTAAGATTCATCAAACTTTCAATCAAGGACACCTGAATTTAGAAGGATTTTTAAAATCTTTCACAATTTCAATTAAAGACACTCTGTAAATATAATATATTGTAATTGATGCCAAGTTTCTCCTTTTTCCAGCATTTATTCAATAGAAATGGACCGTTCATTTGGATTCACGAGAGAAATTGATTTTATAGGGATTAAGGTGCAAGCATTAGCCCCAGTTAGAATTTCATTAAAATGAGATTTTGGTGAAAAATATATTTTGGAATAGAATTTTTTTGTTGAATATATTGTTAAAAATTAAGATTAAATTTGAATTTGTGTGTAATATTATTTTATAGGAGAATAGATGGCTAAAAATAAGTTTGACAAAATGCATTTTTGAAAAAAAGAAAATGAAATGATTTAGGATAATTTGCAAGGTCCCAACAATCGCCAATAAGGGTGAAATGACAAGATAATAATTTTATGAGATTCTTGAGGGCAATCAATTTTACTTAGTGTGTTTGACTGCGAGCATTGCATTTGCATGAAAAGAAAATAAATTATAAATAATTCAATTGTCTAGAATTTATTTGTATTAAAATTATTGATTAAATGTGTTTGATTGATTTAGTTTTCAACATAGAAAATAGTATACTTCTCAATTTTTTATTGGTGGTGGATTAGAGAGAGTGAATCAACAAAATAGAGATAGAGAGAGTTAATTACTTAGAAAATGAAAATCACCATTCCCAAAAAAAAACTTTTTTTTTTTTTGAAGAAAATATGGTTACGTGACCAAAAGTTGAAAAATATTTTTCATGGAAATAATTGTCAATCAAAAACTCCTAAAGTAAGAATTTGAATGAAAAAATGACATTTTTATAAAAAAAAAATAAAGTCAATCAAACACACCATTATTATCGCAATAGAGAACAAGTATGCCTTCACTAAAAAAAATTAAAAAAAATAATAATAATAATAAATAAAATGAGAACAAGTTTTATTTCTTTCTGGTGTAGATATGATCTAGGAATTCATTTTAAAGTAGACTTAATTTTGAGTATTTTTTCTCTCTCTTCTTCTGTCATTTTCCCCCTTCTTCTCTTTTTCATCTCTTTTCCTCATTTTTTCTCAATTTTGTTCTCGTTCAATTGATCACATGTGATCTTCAATCATCATTTTATAATCCAAATCAATTATTGAATATTTACATTTTCGTCCTCGAACTTTGAATTTCTTTCGTTTTTGCACGTTTTTAGTTCATTTCTTCCAATTCTACTAATTTGCATTAAGTTCAATCTAACAAACATAATTAACATATAATTAAGCTATAACTCATTTAAATGTACTAACAATTTCTTCAATTTACTAATATAGATAAGTGTACAAAATACATTTATTGAATATTTTCAAATTTGAACATTTGTTTGTCCTCAAACAAAACTATATCGTAACTTAACCAAAAATTTAAGAAAACACATGGTTAGCTAATTTACTTTTGATCACAATATTGGAACTCCTGTATTAAAACTATGATCTGCTTCAAAATCACGTCGTTAAGATTAATTTCTACCTGTTCAATTCAAAATCGACCTGTGTGTGAAAATTCACGTTAAACATCAAAAATCCATTAAGTTATTCAAGTTCCGACCCTCAATGATCAAATATATCATTTTTTCTCTCATAAAATTCATGCCCACAAATTTTTTTTATTTTTATTTTAACTCTTTTCTCAATGTATGATCTAAAATTGAATTTATATATTAGTTCTCACATTCCCTAGTTTGGTTCGATGTTACTAATTACAGATTAACACATTAATAAATGAAGATTTTCCTTATTTTTGATTGCTTTACTATTCAAAATCAATTAGGCTAATAACCCCTCCTTAAAAGTTTAATTCTCTTAAATAAATGCTTGAGATTTAATCAAGGCATGTAATAATTATTTTAATATAAATATTATTTTTCTTTCTAATATCTTGTGCTAAATTCTCTCCATTAATCTTTTTAAATGATACTTGTGGCGAGCTTTTGGCCGATAACTCCAAAATTAGATGATATTAGGACACTAAGTTTTACATACCTTACAAGTTTAATCACTTGAGTTATAAATGCTACAAAGATAAGTTTTACGATGAGACACATTTTTTTTTTTATACAATGATTAGTGCAATGCTCCTTATTAAATGCTCATTCTAAAAAATTGACCCATAACTTAAGATTTTCACCTAATTTTTATCTTATTGGCTTTAGACAATCTACACAAAATTAAACACACATGAAATTCACATTTATCTCAATGTCTTTTTAAAACAGTTCAATCATTCCCAAATTATTCTAAATTGGCTTAAGTATAATTTAATAGTTGTTTGGATTTAACATCTAAAGTACACTACATTGTTTTCAACGTATTCAAATTTTGAATCAAATTATTCATTCATGATGTAAAACATAAATTTTGTACTAAAAAAATATTAAATTTTATATGAATACATGTAAATCAACCCTAATGTGCAATTTTTTCACAATTTATAGCTTAACATATATTCCAAATATATTTATTATAGCGGCAAATTTATCTAATCTACATAAGCACACAAAAGCGAAAAATAAAAATAACATTTTAATATTTTTTATCCCTCGAACAAGCACATAAACCAATAAAAACTCAATGTTTTTTCACCCCCAAACTTATAACAGACATTGCCCTCAATGTCTAAAAATATAACAAGAAATATATAAAAATTATGGGTAAATAAAGGAACTAAATACTCTCCTAATGTATATTCGAAGGTGGTGGATGGACTGACACTAAAGTTCTAGCTCACTAGCAATGTCTTTTCCTTTGTCCAGTGTGTTCAAATATCATGTTTCTTCAAAATAATTAGAAAATTAATAATAACATGGAACATTTTATAATTAGCTTAGACACACCCTAAAGGAAAATATGGGGATGAAGATACGCTATACTACAAAAAAAAAAAAAATACTAATCCTATATCTAAAAAGCAAAATAAATGAAAGCGAAGAAAATTGGGTTGCCTCCTATAAGCGCTTATTTATAGTCATTGGCTTGATTTTGATATTCTGCATCATGGAATTCTAAAAAAAACTTTTGATGACTTGTTTAATTTGTTTCTTTTGACTTTGATTCATTTTTCGTTGATTCTCCAAATTTTGACCTTGCCTCCTTTAATGCGATATCATTTGTTTATTCCATCCGATTCGAAATCAATTATATAGCCTCATTCCTTTTTGGACTTATTCATAAATTCAATTGTTGGACAATTGATGAAGTTGAAAGAATGTGTGTTAATTTCATTCTCATTAATTGCCACTTTTCGCTTGGTTCCTCTGTAATTAGTTTGTCTTCTTCTTTATGCTCTTCTTCAATAATTGATAATCCATCGAGTTGAATGGTCGGTTCACAGTCTAAATTCACCGGCAATGGTAATTCTTTCATTTCAATATTTTTAAGTCGATTATATACCCACCTTTTAAATTCATCCTAGAATATAAAATTTCATATACACATTTTGCTTTCATCCAGTATAAAAAGTTCATTATAATATTTTTGTAAATGCCTTCTAGTTTAATAGGGGAAGACCAATTCCCTTAAGAATGATGTTATCATATGGATGTGTAGATACATATTCACCTATGGCATGTAACATTAATCAGATTTGTCAATTACTTGTTTTCGACATCTTAAATATTGCTCAAACCGCAGAAGTTTGGACATAAAAAGGATTAGTGCTTGTATACAAGCATTGTTAAGTATAATGCATCCCATTACAAAATGCACAGATTATGTTTTCTACAAGTATATCCTTATCATCCATATCGAAATTGTTTGTTGCAAAACTTTTTACCCCTTTTGCCATCATCAGAATCCTACATATTTTGTTGAATAGTACCTGAAAGAATATCAATCACACGAGAGATTAGGGTGGGTAGCCAAAATTATCAAAAAAATAAAATTGAATTCTATATAAAATAATAGAAAGGCCCTTCTTATTTTGATGGCCTAGCCTGGTCAGTACCAAGCCGGGCCCCTGAATTGACATAGCACCCAATTCTATTTATTTGCTACATCTACTTGTCCCGATCAATCTGAAATAATTGCCTCAACAGCTAAGAGATCCATTCGAGAAATAGGGGGACTAGTTGAAGTAATGAGCCTCCTAATATGT